TTGATTTTGACAGGGGACGGTGAGATGGAACGTGAGGACTCTGAGCACCTGAAAGAGGGCTATGAAGAATGAGGCAGCGTCAACACTGGAGGTGGGGAAGCTAGAAAACAAATATTCTCATCTCTTAAACAGGCCTAGAGCCAGCTCTGATAAAGCTCCAAGGAGATCCTAGAGACATATCCTCTACAGAGAAGATGGCATAGCTTAAACCTTGCTGGATAAAATCCCATAATCTGCCTGTAAGTCAAATTATTTCTGAAGTAACATCATTAACTTCCTCAAAGAATGGGAGAAAAGATTAGACTTAGGGTATTATCATCTCTTTTGGACATTTGTTCTAAAGGAGCTGGAAGCTATACGTGACCTCAGTTTTTCCCGGGGATGTAGAACAGCTTTAGACCTTCTCTTTCTGGAACTGACCCTAGGTGCTCTATTTTAGCTCTTAGACTAGTTCATTTTTGAATTTAATAAAAAAAGAAAAAAGAAAAAAAATTCTCTTTTCATTTGAACTGTTTTTTGTTTTGTAATTCTTAGGGTTGACCCTTATAGTCCTTTGCACATTGATCTTCAGATCTTAAAAAGAAAAAGAAAGCATATATTTTACTTAACTTCTCTTTTAGGGTAAGGAAATAGTTACAGGACCCTATATACTTCTGATGGGGGTGTGTATTTGTGCAGTACTTTGGAAAACAATTTGGTAAAGTAGAAGAGACTCATGCCCTGTGGTTCAGGAATCTCGTAGATATATACTCCACAAGAAACGAGTACTTAGACATCAGGAGACACAGCATCATTTATAATAGCCCCAAACAGAAAATAACCTAAATGTTCATTCCAATAAAATGGAGAATTGTGGTATTGGTAAAATGACTTACAGCTATGTGGGACAAGATGGGTGAATCTTGAACACAATGTTAAGCAAAAGAGACCAGACCCCAAAACCTATTTTGTGCAATTCCCTTTACATATATATCAGAAATAGGTAAAACGAATGTTGGTTAGGGCATGCATTCTCAGTGGAGGCAATATTGCCTGCAGAGGAGTGCAGACTGGTCCTTAGAGTGAAAAACATCTTAGGTGTTGTAATGGTCTTCTGCCCTCCAAAGGGCCACAGAACACACGCAGATACACAATAGATCTGTGGTGTTACAGTTCCATGGGGCGTGGGACAGAATTAGGAAGAAAACTAAAAAGGCTTCTCAGTGGTGCAAACGTGAAAAGAAAACTGAGAAATACTTATTTATGTATTCATAAATACATAAATACTTGGGCAGTACAACTATCAAGAGCAAAGGTGATTACCATACAGGTTAGGATAAGGACTCCGTGTAGGTGAGAGGTAGGAAGGTGTGAACTGAAGGTACATCTGTGGGCTTCTTGGATACTGGCTGTAATGTATTTCTTGACCAGGTTGGTGGTTACATGGACACATAATTTACAATAACTTGTAAGTGTACCTCTATATTTTATGCGCTTTTCTGAATTTGTGTGTTATGTTTAATAAAGTATTTTTAAGATCCTAAAACTAAAGGTTACAAAAGAATAGCGATGGAATCTAGAAAAAACATTAATGATTTAATATGGAATCTGGATAAAATATAATGGTTTAAAAATCTATGGATGTATTTTGATGGAAAAAACAAAGACATAAAAGAATACTTCCTTTGTACTTACAAAAAGGATGGTAGTAATTTTCTAAAAACTTCTTACCTAACTTTTTTGTGTGTATATTTTTGCTTGGGGTTATATCTTATGATGCAACTTTCCTGAAATGACCCAAATATCAGTATTTGTTCTCACTTTTGTTATCATAGAAACTGTTGTGATTGTCATTTGGGTTGTCTTTCTAAAGTGTGAATTTGGTGTGTATTGACTGAAGTTGTTAGTGGGTGCATCTTTGCTGATTCATATTGGGGAATGAATGAAACACCCTGACCAAAACCAAAAAAACAAAACACAAAAAACCCTGGAAGGTATCTTTCTTTTTTAAAACGTGAAATCATATGTCCGTATGCCCAACACCAAACTTACGAAATAGAATCTTATCAGTCCCTGTAGCCCCGGTGTGCTCTCCCTGGTCACTTCCTCTTTGGGAGGTATCTTGAACGGAATATGAAATCTTGGACAAGAAATGAGGATTCGTGACTGCAGGTAGTGTTTTCGTTACTTTTTTCCTGCTCTAGGTAGAACTTCAGGGAGGGGATGATCTGGGAGGTAAATAGCTGAAATTCTATTGGATTTGTGTTTCTGGACCATGGCTCCTGATATCAGAAAGAACGGCCTTTTCGGGGGTTGGAGTATTTCTTTCTTTTTTTTTTTTTTTTGAGACGGAGTTTCGCTCTTGTTACCCAGGCTGGAGTGCAATGGCGCGATCTTGGCTCACCGCAACCTCCGCCTCCTGGGTTCAGGCAATTTTCCTGCCTCAGCCTCCTGAGTAGCTGGGATTACAGGCACGCGCCACCATGCCCAGCTAATTTTTTGTAGTTTTAGTAGAGACGGGGTTTCACCATGTTGACCAGGATGGTCTCGATCTCTTGACCTCGTGATCCACCCGCCTCAGCCTCCCAAAGTGCTGGGATTACAGGCTTGAGCCACCGCGCCCGGCGGTTGGAGTATTTCTTAAGAGACCCGGGAAAAATGATTTCCTTGAGCTAACTGGCCTTATGAAGAGAAGACCTTAAACTGAATTGCCAAGTTATTAGTATTGGGATTCACAGACTTTTAGAGCCAGAACAATATATATTTATGGCTTCCGATGTCCATAGTGACAACATGAGAGTCATGAATAATAAGCAAAATGGAACTTGAGATAAAGCATTAACACAAAGATGGGAGTGGGGGCAGGAGGGATGAGACCTGGTGAGAAACTGGTAAATCCAACTTGCTATGCTTTTAAGGAAGTCATTTTCTGATGTTTCAGGCAACATCTGAATTACTCAAGTGAATTCTGAGGTAGTACTTTAAGAAGGGTCTATTTAGATAAATTTAGGCTCATTTAGAGAATAATAGCCGGGATTAGGAAGAGATTCTATTCTGTGTCCAAGGATAGCTGGTTAAATTGTAGATTCAGAGAGGAAAACATGAGGGTTCATAATAGCCTGTCTTCAGCTGTCTGGAGGACTATGTATATGGAAGCATTCGTTTTTGTTTTTGGTGAACACGGGGCATAAAAGTAGAATAAGTCAAATTATAAATAGGTGATTTTCAATTCAATATACGAACTTGATTTGCAACTATTTAGAGCCATCTGGTGATGTAGTCTTTAAAAAAATGGAATGTTCCTCATCCTTAATAATAACTTAGAAGGCTGAGATGTTACATGAGAAATCATATAACTTTATGAGATTCTTGTAGAGCCCGAGAGTCTGCTTCTGAATTAACATATACTAAGGTAACTCAAACTTCATTTTAACAGTCACCCTTAATCTTTTTTTTTTTTTTTGAGACAGAGTTTTACTCTTGTTGCCCAGGCTAGAGTACAGTGACACAATCTCAGCTCACTGCAACCTCTGCCTCCCGAATTCAAGCGATTCTCCTGACTCAGCCTCCCTAGTTGCTGGGATTACACCCTCAACCTTTTTCTCCCCCGTTCCTGAAGAGCTCTTTTTATTTCTGTAAAATCTGGATTCCTGAGTTCTGGGATACAGAGTTTATGGAATAGCATATGGAACCAATGCCATACCAGAGTTATGGAAGAGCATCTGGAACCATTGGTTGTAAACCATTATGTTGTTGATAGAGTTTTTAATGACTCATATATACATACATGCATACATACATATATATACACACACAAACACACACACATATATTTTTACCAGAAAAAACAAATGTTTTTCAAATGTAAATTGTGATGGAGGGTTTAGAGAATGTTATTACAGAGTGGTCCCCACATGCCTGTGATCATAGTTGGTACTTCTAGAAATAATCACGGGAAATCTCATGGACCTATTGAGCTGACTGTCTAACTACTTCTACAGGTAATAGTTGCAGTTTAGTAGAATCAAATGGTAATTGTCATGTAGTTTTGCTGAAATTTGTATTGCTTCTTTTTTTGTGATTGGAAATCTTACAGAAGGTGGGGAAAAGATCACAATTCGTTAGGTTATGACATGTTCTGTAGACCCTCAAAGTACGAGCAATTTTACGAGAATTGCAAACACAGATGACCAATTCTATTATGTGACATAATCCACATGACGGTGATTAAAATCTAAATATATCCAGTCCTCACTTTGATCATTTCTATGGTTGAAATAGTAATCGTTGCATTTCGGGTAAAAATATGACTACGTTAGACTTCAGAACTTTCTCCAGAAGTTCTTTGTTCCTACAGTTATTTTTGGTTATATTTGCTTTACATGCTTATATATGTGTTTTGGGGGCTAACATCCTGTTAATAGTCATTTATGTATAGTCAGAATACATATTAACTGTGGTGCTGATACTACAGAATTGTTATTTGGGCATGATGTCCATCTGTAAAGCTCAGAGAAACAAAAAGTATTAAAAAAAAAAAACCTTAGTATTACACACGGATGTGCTGAGCTCATTTTGAGTCCTGCCACATGGTAAAGCAATATTGTTTTCTATTTTTACTTATGTATTTGTTGAGACAGGGTCTTGCTGTATCACCCAAGCTGGAGTGCAGTGGTGTAATCGTGTCTCACTGCAACCTCTGCCTCCCGAGCTCAAGCCATTCTCCCACCTCAGCCTCCTAAGTAGCTGGAACTGCAGGCACATGCTTCCATGCCTGGCTAATTTTTGTATTTTTGGTAGAAACGGGGTTTCGCCATGTTGCTCAGACTGGTCTCTAACTCCTGGGCTGAAGCGATTCATCTGCCTGGTTCTTGCAAAGTATTAGTATTACATGTGTGAGCCACTGTGCCTGAACCAATAATGTTTGTTAAAAATTTTTATTTACTTTTTACTTTTGCTTTTTTAAAAAAAATCGTAAAATTTTTATTTTTTTCAATATTGTTTTTTAAAAGTTTACTTACCTGACACCCACAGCCTAATCTTTGCCATATATTCCAAAATGTTCTGTGAGTGAGCAGCTTCTTACCTATTTCTATGGCCAGGAAAGACATCAATCCTTCCCTGCTGCCCATAGCCCCCAGTTATTCTACATAATTCCCTAGTCTGTGACCACATTCAGATGAGAGATCTGTTTTGTTTTAGTTTTTTCCAAGAAAGGAGGAAGTGGTCGCCACCTATACTAAGCAGTCTAGTCTTCTGTTTATAAATGAGCAAGGATGGAGAGCCAAATCTGAGAACCTTGAGTAATCCTGGTATTCTCCAAGAGAATCCAAGAGTATTTTGGGATTACAGAAGCTGATAAAGTGGTCTTATGTTAGTTGTATCCACAGCTCTCATCAGAAGCAGACATAAATACTTTTTGTAGGAAAACATCTCTAATTTAAGCCTGTAGGATTCCCAAAGATGAAAAGCAGGCAAATATGAATTCAGTCAATCATAGCATTCAAGTAGTCAACTCAAGATATTTGAGAATTGTCAGAAATAATGAATAATGGATATATTTCCTGAAGACTATAGGTCTTGGAGTTATCAGATACAGAACATGGACTTCAAATATTAGAATTGTGAGACATAGTTACATGTGAAATCTAATATAAAGAAAAAAAGAGTCATAAAATTGAGCAAGCAGTAAGTCCACCCAGAATCATGAGGAAGACCTGAAAAGCAAATGGATGAAATAGAACTTACGGAAATGAAAATATATAGCTGGGTATGGTGTCTCACACCTGTAATCCCAGCACTTTGGGAAGCTGAGGCAGGAGGATGGCTTGAGCCCAGGAGTTCAAGACCAGCCTGGGCAACATGGTGAAAACTTGTTTCTAAAAAAAAAAAATGCCCCTCCCCCTAAAAAAATTGGCTGGGTATGGGGCACATGCCTGTAGTCCAAGCTACTCAGGAGGCTGAGGTGGGAGGATCATTGGAGCCGAGGAGGCCGAGGCTGCACCAAGGCATGTTTGTGCCACTGCAGTCCAGTCTGGCCGACAGAGTGAGACTCTGTCTCAAAGTAATATAAAATATACAAAATGTAATTGTTGAAATAAGAAACTCAGTAGATGGATTAGATGTCAGAGGAGAGAATTAATTGATTAGACAATTATCTCCAAAAAAATAAGTCAGAATGTTACATAGAGAGACATGAGGATAGATAATAAGGCAGAAGTTGGTGGGGTGGAGGCGGGGAGAGAGAGTGGAGTGAGGTCTAAGATATGTCTTAGTGGAATCCTAGAAGATACTAAAAATGTATTAGAAAGTGAGAGAAATAGAAGTTCTAAAGGGTATAGAAGCAAGTCCACGTAAATCAGTCACAACAAATGTAAATGGACTAAAGTTATCAGTTAGAAAGGCTGAATAAGTAAAACAAAATCCAGCTGGTTTAGTCTGTCATATTTAAAGTATGAGGATACGAAAAGATTGAAAATTTTTATAAAGGAGAGAGATATGCCAGTGTACGTTAACAAAAACAAGTGATGTAGCTTTAGTATCAAACCAAATAGAATTTTGGAACAGAAAGCATTAGTAACAACATTAACTAGATGATAAAAGTCTGTTAATTAGGAGGATGTAGCAATTTTTGTATTTTATGTACCTACGAAAATAGCCTCAAAATACAGTGGAAAAACTGATAAAACCACAGGGAGAAATTGACAAGTCCAGCATCATATTTGGAGATTTCAACATACCCTGCTTACCATAAGTAAGTTAAACAGAACACACATATGCAGATTTGAATAACCAGTGAACGGGCATGATATAATGGACAAATATAGACCTCTCTACCCAATAATTAGATATTATATATCCTTCTCAAGCATATATGAACTATGGGAGAAAAATTAATTATATATTAATCCATAAAGCAAGTCAGAGGATTTAAAAACAATTGGTACTATACACACCATATAATTTATAATTTAAATATGAAACAAAGTTAGAAGGCAATAATGAAGAGGTTAACAAAAATCTACATGAATTTGGGAATTAAACACCCTTGTAAATCATGGTTTAAAAAATCAAATGAAATTTTAAAATGCTTAGAATTGAACCATAATTAAAATACTAAACTTCTATCTATTTCTCTCTCTCCCCTCTCCGTCCTTCTTCCTATCTGGAACATTCAAGAAGCTAATCTTTTTCAATGAAGAACACCTCAAATACTGAAAAGTAGAAAAGGGACAGATGTAATTCTCTGATCTTAGTTAAATCTGTAAGTTAATAACAAAACCAGAAAACAAATATTTGTGGAATTTTAAAACTCATGCAAACAGCCCTTAGGTCAAACAGGGATTTGGAATTAAAACTGCAGAATGTCTAGAGAATAGCAATAATGCAATTATTACTTACGAGACACTAAATGAGAGCTCTGAGGAATGTTCGTTGCCTTAAAATCCTTCTGTTATTAAGAAAAGAATGAAGATGAATAAAGCCTCTAACTCATTGTTAGAAAGGACAATCAAGAAACCTGAAGGAAAGCAGAATGGGGAAATTATTAAAGATATACAAGCAGAAATCAGTGAGTTAGGAAAATAGAAAGGGCTAAATCCCTATTACAGTATAGCCTCTGCAGAAATACTCCTTTAACTTAGGGTTCTGCATACCTTGCTACTGATGATGGAGAACGGGAAAGGCTAACATTCTTTCTTTCTCCTTGTGTTTTGGGTGATGGACAGTAGGTTTGGGAAGTGACTGCTTCACAGTCATTTTGGAGTTTCATGGTATTTGTACTTTTTATGCATAGTTTGTTTCTGAATCTTTTATTTTTGACTTTTTTATGAACATAACAGTCTGACTAAAAAAAACACTTTTTCATTGATGTTAAGAAAAACGTGTTACTACACATTTTATATCTTTGTTTTTTAGGTGCATTATGAAATGGCTTTACTATTTTAAAGTGCTCTTAGTTGCAAAGGACTACGCTTTAGAAAAGTGGGAAAAGTTCTTATGTAAATTTAATGTCATGTTTTTTAAAAAAAAGAAACATAAAAAGTCTGTTTACAGAAATAGAAATAAATGGCTCATGGACATGATGGAGACATGCTCAGTCTCAATAATATACATACTAATCAAAACTATACTGGGAGTCCATCTTTCACTTGGTATGTTGCCAAAAATCACAAAGGTTTGAGGTACTGTGCTGGTGAGGCCGTAGCGAGGCACTCTCATCAATGGCTAGTGGGCAAACACAATATGCAGTCCTGGAAAAGGCAGTTTAGCAATATCTCAAAATTACAAAGGCATATTTGTCTTTTGACCCAGCAACTCTAATCTAGGACCTTTTTTACCAGTACTCAGCAGATACTTGTACAGTGTTGCTCACTGGAACATTGTAACAGCAAAATACTGACAACAGCCTGGTTGTCCACCAATAGGGGACTGATTAAATATTTGAATATCCATATAATAGAAGTTTTTCAGTGTTTAAAACAGATTTCTGTGTACTGATATGGAACATTCTCCAAGATGTGTTAAATGAAAAAAGGGGCAGACCAGTGTCTGTAGCATGCAACTGTTTGTGAGGGAAAGCAGGGGACAGTGGCTAAGAAGAATGGCTGTGCGTGAATATTCTTGTATAATCTTAAAGAAGAACACACATGAATAGTGATTAACTTGTGTGGAGGAAGGCAGATGAATGAGAGGAAACTGAGTGGTTCTGGGACAAGAGTAGAAGGGAGTTTTCACTTAGGATGTAGACATTCTTTTGAGTGTCGTACTGTGTGAATTTATTACGCAAATAATTCTGTGATGTAGTATAGTAGATGTGTACCCCTACTGGAGAATGCTGATGGTATATTAATTGGAAGTTGAGGTATGGGTTGATTGTACTTGTGGTGACAAAATTAACCCCAGATTTGGCTCCTTAAAAACACTGTATATTTTTAGGGCCAGGCACAAGTGGCTCACACCTATAATCCCAGCACTTTGGGAGGCTGAGGCAGGTGGATCACCTGAGATCAGGAGTTTGAGACCAGCTTGGCCAACATGACGAAACCCCATCTCTACTAAAGATACAAAAAGTTAGCCAGGCATGATGGTGTGTGCTTGTAATCCCAGCTACTTGGGAAGGTGAGGCAGGAGAATCACTTGAACCTGGGAGGTGGAGGTTGCAGTGATCCAAGATTGTGCCATTGCACTCTGGCCTGGGCGACAAGAGTGAAACTCCATCTGAAAAAAAAAAAAATTATGTGTTTTTACTAAAAGAGGACTCCTTTAGTATTGGCTTGGTGCCAATTATGGGCATTCTTTAGATTTCTAACTTAAAATGTCATTGATATGTGTAGTTATGGAAGCTTAGTATCTCCTTATCTGAAAGCAATATTTTGTAGTTTTTTTTTTTTTGATAGAAGTTATGAGGAAGAGAGTTTGAGCTTTATTAACATCAAGATTGCATCCTTTAACTTGAGTCATCGATATGGAGACAGACTCTAGAACCAGAAAGTTTTGTACTTGTCCAGTGGTAGTAAGACTTATAAAATGAACTGTGAGGCTTGTTAATTTTTATTGGGGCACAATTTTGGTTTTGCTATTTTTTTTTTTTTTTTGAGATGGAGTCTCACACTGTCGCCCAGGCTGAAGTGCAATGGTGTGATCTTGGCTCACTGCAACCTCTGCCTTCTGGGTTCAAGAGATTCTCCCACCTCAGGCTCCCAAGTAGCCAGATGCCCGCCACCATACCCAGATGATTTTTTGTATTTTTTTAGTAGAGACAGTTTCACAATGTTGGCCAGGCTGGTCTCGAACTCCTGAACTCGTGATCTGCCCGCCTCGGCCTCCCAAAGTGCAGGGATTACAGGTGTGAGCCACCGCACCTGGCCTGGTTTTGTTATTCTGATAAAATTGTAGAGAATAATGAAATTGAGAAATGAAGCTATTAAGTTAAAATTGTTTTGGAAATGGAAATATTCCACTTTCTGTGTATACTTTTAAGCACAGTGGTGATGCATTCATAAATTTATTGTAATAATTTTCCCCTAATTAATTTTAACATGTGTAAATTCTCTTTCAGAATCAATATAATCAATGTATCAAGAGCCCAGCAATCCTATAATTCCATTGTACAGATACGTGAGAAAAACAG